AAATAAGTCATCATTATAGACTCTACAACTGTCTTACCTCAAAACTTCTCTCAAAACATCAAGTAAAATACATCGGGAATATTCCAAGTTAACCTCACACTGGTCTGTCACATCCAGCCCTTGATGCTCGTCAGCCATCTTAGGATCCACAGATATAACGTATTTTCTTTTCCCCCAACCCCACCCCCTTCCCCCCCCCCCACTTCCACAGGCTGGGGTCGCCATTCCTTTGACAAGAAGAGCAATCAGTGTATCTGGGACAGGACTGCTAGCTTGTCTTACACAGTTATCGTTTCTGTTGGTCTGATTGGGCTCCCCTTGTTTACCATGGGCATGTGCTACATTCTCATCTTCAAGAAAATTTATAGGTACTTATAAATTAAGTTATGCACCTGACTGTTGAGAAATGTAGTTTTAGAAACTGCGGACCGATGAAAGGGGGAGCATTTAAAAAAAAAATCACTCAACGTTATTGTAGAATTATTTCTCCTATTCCGGAAAGCCATATGTTCTCCTACAAGTGTGCAATCATTGCAGTTTGAACATATCCCCCAAATTAATGAATTTAGAAAGCACTATTAATTATGGCGTGTGTCAGAAGTAAATACCCGCGTGCATTATCAATTACTATACATTCAAATTCTTAAATACTGTGAAAAGCCTTAATTAATGTATAGAGTTTCAGGTTACTGTCCCTAGTCCATGAATTGGTGAAAACTGATCTAGAACATGCCACAAGTTTAAATGTGTGAAAATGTATTTTTTTTCTTTCAACATGTATCCAAAGGAGTCGGCGCTGAAAATTATGAACATGGCGTTATCTGTGCGCTAGAGACAATCGCTGTACCACACGTTGTGCCACACGTTGTGCCACACGCGGTACCACACGTTGCACCACACGCTGTACCACACGTTGTGCCACACGCTGTACCCTGCACTCTTGTCACTATTAATGTTTCCATGCTCCGTGAAAATGCTTCCCATAAATTTAAGCTCCTTCTTTTGACCGAGCAGCTGACCACTGACAGCTATGCCCATTTTTTTTATTTCTGGGGCACGGCCACCTGACAATGTCCTCGGCCTACTGAAAAGACGTCGACCCACTACCATGACCTCTGCCCAATGACATGACCTCGGCCCACCTGACATGACCTGGGCCTACTGAAAAGACGTCGACCCACTACCATGACCTCTGCCCAATGACATGACCTCGGCCCACCTGACATGTCCTGGGCCTAATGAAAAGACGTCGACCCACTGCCATGACCTCTGCCCAATGACATGACCTCGGCCCACCTGACATGACCTCGGCCTACTGAAAAGACGTCGACCCACTACCATGACCTCTGCCCAATGACATGACCTCGGCCCACCTGACATGTCCTGGGCCTACTGAAAAGACGTCGACCCACTGCCATGACCTCTGCCCAATGACATGACCTCAGCCCACTGACATGACCGGGGCCTACATACCATGACCCCTCAGCTTTGCCTATTTTCATTTCAATAAGTTCGCAGATGCTGGTCAGGATATCAGCATGGCTCTTCAACTATTCCTTTTTATCGTTTAGGTTGCATTGGTCATCTCCAGATATCAGTTCATGCAATTGATAGGCTTCACATTTCTTAAAATTGTTTATCTGGTACATAAGCGTCCACTTTCTTAACTTCGGTTTAGCGCACCCCCCTCCCCATCCCCAAATCCCAATAAAAAAAAAATCAAAACTTGTTTACTTGTTGAACACCTTGTGAAAAAAATTAGATAAAATTCTCATGATTCTCGTGTTTCAGCACCAAGGCCAACCTTTACCGGATGGACATGGACGACCCTGACAAGAAGAAAAAAATCTGGAGCGAGACGGTGAAGTCCTCCAAAATGCTGTTCATCATTTTTGTCATTTTCGTCGCCCTGTGGACACCCTACGCCGTGGTCATTGCGGCAGACGTGAACGACGCCATGCCCGTCTCCCTGCACCTGTTCGTCACCATGCTGGCGCATCTGCACTCCAGCGTCAACTTCGTCATCTACATCATCTGCAACCGGAACTTCCGGGCGGTCGTACTGCGCCTGCTCCGCTGTGGGGGTTGCTCGGATGCCTCGCTGTCGTCGTCGTCGTCGTACAACTCCGAGACGAAATCGACAACGAATTACAAAAGCCAGGGCGTCTCGGTGACGCCAGCGAGTCATTACGTGACGGAGAAAGTAAAGCCGCCATCGACCGGTGAGGCTGATTGATGGGACTAAACCGTTGAGAAGGGTTAAAAAAAAGCTGTGTACGGACGCCCCATTGCGGATGGGATGGAAACTGAGCGGAAGTGACGTCACCTGTGCAGTGGTGAGGAAGACAACGGGTTTTAGATGCAAGAGGCAACAATTGACAGATGCTTCTAATTATATTCTCTTTAAGATTGGGAAGTATATATATATATATATATATATACATATGTATCCGCTGTTGATAGAAACGGCTTAAATTGGGCTCTTAGAATCTGACGTAATGTGACTCGAGTCTGTGACTATCCTTACATTTGTAGTGCACCATCAAATCAAAGGCGTAAAGGCGTCATTTGGTCCCATTGCAATGGACAGAGATTTGAGGGCCTAGACTATAGAGACCTATGCCAACCAACCAAAAGAAAAGCCATTAAAAAAAATTAGATGAGTACAATTCATTTGACTTGTGACTTTCTTTTTCTTTTCTTTTCTTTTTTTTTTTACACCGAGCCCAGAAGTTACCAATTTCATCCCCCCTCCCCCCCCCCCCCCCCNCTATTAATGGGTGCATTTAGGAGCTCCACTCGTAGTGCCACACTATTAATGGGTGCATTTAGGAGCTCCACTCGTAGTGCCACACTATTAATGGGTGCATTTAGGAGCTCCACTCGTAGTGCCACACTATTAATGGGTGCATTTAGGAGCTCCACTCGTAGTGCCACACTATTAATGGGTGCATTTAGGAGCTCCACTCGTAGTGCCACACTATTAATGGGTGCATTTAGGAGCTCCACTCGTAGTGCCACACTATTAATGGGTGCATTTAGGAGCTCCACTCGTAGTGCCACACTATTAATGGGTGCATTTAGGAGCTCCACTCGTAGTGCCACACTATTAATGGGTGCATTTAGGAGCTCCACTCGTAGTGCCACACTATTAATGGGTGCATTTAGGAGCTCCACTCGTAGTGCCACACTATTAATGGGTGCATTTAGGAGCTCCACTCGTAGTGCCACACTATTAATGGGTGCATTTAGGAGCTCCACTCGTAGTGCCACACTATTAATGGGTGCATTTAGGAGCTCCACTCGTAGTGCCACACTATTAATGGGTGCATTTAGGAGCTCCACTCGTAGTGCCACACTATTAATGGGTACAGATAAAGTGGGTGATTTTTTTTTTTTGTATTTGAAAATGTTAAACAGAACTTTGGCTCTAGGATAAGGGTCGGCAGAATTTCTCGAATAAGGAGCCATTAGTTTTATACATGGCATCTGCTAAGAAATATTTTGGTTGCAGCATGTTATTATAAATTTAAAAAAAAAGAGTCACATCTGTTCAAGGGTGGCCAGCCCGCGGGCCGTCTGCGACCCTACGCGTTAAATATTGAGTCCCGCCGGAAATATCACAATAAAACTTCTTTCTTCATTCATAGTAAGCTTCTTTTCATTCTTAAATAAAAATGTTAAAATTAAGAATTTATTATTAATTTTGAAGAAAAACACATACGGACAAATTGGAGTTTGATCTCAACTCACTCTATGCTAGTCATTCAGCCCAAGTCAATGTTGGAATAAAAACATCTTTCGTTTTCATTACACATCGGTTGAAACAGCATCGGCGACTCAGATGCGCTCCCACTAACATTCCTGCACCCTGTGACACGTGAGTGTGTGTGTGTGTTCGTCACGTGTAAAATCGTTAATTTTTATAACAGTTTCTTAACATCTGCAAAATAGTCTACATAATATTCTACAAAATAATCTACAAAATAATCTACAAAATAATCTACAAAATAGTCTACACAATAATCTACAAAATATTTTTTTTTTAATGACTTGCAATGACGTGCGGTTCGCGAAGAGTGAATCGTTAATGAAAGTTGCCAACCACCTGGTCTAGGAGATCAATATTGACATTGACGGGGCGAATGTATAATGGACAATCATTGTCGTGTCGTTAAAATAATTGCGGGGGAGGGTGGATGAGATATATATTTTAACACATTTATTTTTTTAAAATTACGGTAGTTAAAAGGCCAATGACAAGGTGGTCTCCACGTAAATCATAGTTTGAGACCTACCATATTCAACTCATCATGGTCGTTGGTGGGATTCATTTTTTTTTTTTTTTGGTGGTCTAAGGGGCTTATGTCACATTTTATTCTTGCAGTATTTATTTTAAAAGCTACTAAGTACTAGCAGAAATTGACTTCGTTTATAGACAGTGTGGGTAGGGAGAAATATGTGGCACGCATGTTTTTCATGGTCCATCAATTTGGAGTCAAGTGTTAAGCTGCACAATAAAGTATTTTTGTTGCGTGTGTAAAAGGAATTGTTTTCTTTGACCAGTTCGCACTGTTCAGAGCTTGGACCTTTAAATCGAATTAATTAAATGTTAAAAGTCAAATGTGGTCCACATCTTTTTAATGGCATCATCAGTTGCGTGCAACAGATCAATTTGAACTTTATTTTATTTTATTTCTCTGCCATTTGTTTTATAAAAGAGACATAGAATGGCTCAGGGATGGTTCAGGAATGGCGCATACAATACGAATGTCTGAAGAGAAAAATTTGTTTGCCTTGTATTTTTCTTTGTGCAACTATCAAGAAAATGTCTTCTTTTATTTGGATACTTTCGATGAGCTGGTCAAGTCGGAGAGGTCTGTTCCCAAGTCCACCCTCGCCTTAGTTTCTCGCCTCTGTGACAACGCTCTGTCCGTCCTTGCTTGTGTCTCCGAGCTCTTGGATAAGGTCGGTTGAAGCCCCAGACGGGCGAGGTACAGGTTGAGAACCCTCTTGTTGCACACAAAGGAAAGAAACAGGAAGACGCCCTGGAGCCCGTTGAGCACAGATGCAATGTATCTAAAGTTTTTGGAGACGGGGACAGACACTGGATTGACTTGACGGTAATATAATCTAAACACTTAGTTGCTTATAGAATATCATGATAGAAATATAATGATCGCGCTCAGCAACTAAACATCACGTGTTTGAAAGTATGAACACACCACATATAAACACACAAAAAAAAATCAAATCAAATAATATAAAAAAACACACATTATCGAAATTCTATCTAGGATACTTGTACAGGTGATAGAAACATTATATATATATATATATAGACTTAATGGTGGTATTATTAATAAAACGTAAGCACAAACATCACCTCAGTATGTCAGCATCCAGCAACTCGGCGACGATCGCCAGGGCCCAGAACGCCCCCGTCATTGTGGACAGCTTGGCGTAGATGTAGAGGTTGGTCTTGCTGTCTCTGCTGGCGGCATCGCTTCGCACCAGCCGGCGGATTTTGTGAATTTTGCGCACCGTTAGGATGAAGAGCGCCATGTTACCCGCGGTGATGAGGACCAGGGGTCCAGCTAAAGTGATTCCTGAGACGAAACGGATGTTTAAGATAAGACGTGTAAAAATGTGTGTGTGTGTTTTGGTGCGTCTGTGTGTGTAAGGGGGGGGGATTAATATTTATTTAGTTTTTATAAAAACAGATTTTTATTTTATAACAAGGAGAGTTGAAATTTATCTGTTTTTGACAAACGCAAGCTTTAAGTTTATAATTAAATGCTTATTAAAATAAAAAAATTGGGATCAAATTAATCTTGCTACAAAACTAATTTAAAGGATAACGAAATACTCAAACTAGGATTTTTAAGACTGACAAATATGGACCATGAATGAAAGAAAACAAATTTCCATTTATTTGGATCTTTAAAAATATCTCATCTTATCTCATCTTATCCTATCTTATCTTAGTTTATCGTATTTTATCTTATCTTATCTAAATTTGATGGAGGAAGGAATTTTGGTTTGGCAAATCAAAATGAATGAAGTTGACATTTAAACTGAATTGAATCTTACCGATAAGCAGAGGTGAATCTAAGTAGCACTGTGCATCACCGTAGCCAATCTGTGCCCCGGATGTAGCAAAGTAAGAGCCGGTGACGACTGCGGCTACCACCAACGCTGGGAACACCAGCGACAGCGTCACTAGCTTGATGAGGTGCGTCGTTGCGTTCCCAGCTCCAGAGCTCCTCGTCTTGGCGGTGAACACCCGGAACATGGAGGCGCTGCAGATGAACGTCCACACGAACATCCACAGCCACATGAAGTGGGTTGACATACCGAAGAAAGTACACATGACACCTTGACCAGATCTACCCGATGGAATACGAGGAAACACTACAAATTTGAACAGCTATAACTTAGGGATGCAATTAAAGCCAAACTTTACTTTAATTAACTACATTTTAATGTTGTTTTTTTTTAAATTCTTGATCGTGGTATACGACTCTTGCTTTGATGTCTTTTTTTTTTTAGAAAAGATGAGAATGTAAACCAGTGGTTCTCAATTTTTTTTTTTGTGACCGCCCCCTTTACCCCAATAAACTTATCCCTTTTACCCCCCCCCCCCCCCCTTTTTATCTTTTTCATCGTGTTACCCACCAAAAAAAATTGTTCAGGACAGCAGTTAGGAAAACACTGTAAGGCAAATCACGACATAATAAAATATAATATTGTTTTATGGAACTGAACTTTTGATTAAAATATTTTTTTAAAGCTTTTTAAGTTTAATTCATTAATAAATTGATTAACTTGATCGATTCAAATAATAACAAAATAATGACAATAAAACAGAAACATACTTCTATATCGCTAAACTATGTGTGCTTTAAACATTGGGTGGTGCTAGTGAAGTGACTCCACTTAACAACACTCTTAAATCAACACTTTCAAATATATGCAGTATATTTCTTTGCACTTCTTAAGCTTCGTTAGCACTATCCACAGTGCATCATCATGAGAAGAAATTTCCCTCCCAAGCCGAAGTTCTAAGTACGATTTCCCCTAAACTTTTGCTTCAGCTTTGAATACGATATTCATCAAAATAATCAAATGCACCAACAACTAAAAATGGATGTATCACAATTTGAGAACCACTGATGTAAACAATCAAATATCATTAATACTCAAAGTACGCATTGACGCCGTCTTGCTAATGATAAATATTGATGTCCTTCAATCCTAACGATGATCAATGATTGATGAGACGTAATCTTTGCCATAATCAAAGATTGATTTGAAGGAATCTCAAAAATCACGAGAAATTAAAATGTACATGCTTTAAAACACTCTCACGAGATGGCATAAATGACTTCAAGAGTTGATGTCTTAGAGAAATGATCCTAACGACTTACGCATGTAGGCTGGCCTGAAGTGAAGCTTGCGAGAGCAGAATGCTGGCAGACAGCGTCATGTTCTTCAGCCCCGCGGGGGTCCTCAAGACCGGAAACAGGCAGTAGGTCAGCAACGAGAGGACCAAACACAACACGGAGACCCCGACACAAACCTGGGTCACGGCGTAAAGCGGCGCCCCAGCCGCCCCCGCACCCTCCACGCCCCTAGAACGTCTGTGCTCGTCTTCCAACGCCGCCAACTTTGCGTCCAGCAGTTGGTGACACACGTGTAGGTGACCGTCGTCGTCCAGGCTCAGTCGGTTGAGATCGGAGAATTCCGTCAACTCGAGTTTCTCAGTCTTCAAGTCTAGCGCCACTGTCAGGTTGTGGGGGAACTCTTCACTGACTTTAATCGAGTAGAATGCGTCGTCGAAGATGATGTAGCCGCACATCAAGGTTCTGGATATGGGTACGAATGAAGCAGTGGCGTCCTCGACAATTTCTTGGTCTTCAAAATCTTCGGAAGTGTCAGACTGCGTCACACATCGCCTCGCCCCACGGCACGAAGTCGCATTTGAACTGAGAAGCGCGCCCACGGAATCCTGCAGCATAACAGACGGCTTCAGTCTTAGGATAAGTCCATGTTCCATTTGTAGGTCTGATTTTAGATTCACGCTAAGTTCAATTGGGTCGCCAACAAATAAGTCCAAAACGGAGCTCTCGAAAAAATCTCTAGAGAAAGTTTTGTTTGCGATGAGCTGACTGCTCATCCAGAAGAGGTACGATGGTGGAGAACTGTCGTCTGCTTGTAACATCCCTGTTTCTATCACGCCAAGATCTAACGTGAAGCTCACACTGAGACCGTCCAGCATTTTCAGGATCTGAAAGTTGTGCGATCACTTTACTTGACAATGTATGACGACTTGTATGGACGTACTTATATGGACGTACTTATATGGACGTACTTATATGGACGTAATTATATGGACGTACTTATATGGACGTACTTATATGGACGTACTTATATGGACGTACTTATATGGACGTAATTATATGGACGTACTTATATGGACGTACTTATATGGACGTACTTGCATTTGATTTTTTTTTTATGTTGTAATAAAAACACTATTTTCCAACAAGTTTTCCATTCAAGGTTAAGTGTGTCATACAATGTGTCATTATGTCAAATAGGTATTTAATTTAACAAATTAAATGATATCAAATAGATAGTTACCAAAATACATGATGTCAAATACGAAATTACCGATATACGTCTTATAAAGTGGACATTGAAATGTAAACAAATTAAACCATGAGTTTTTTTTCGAATTCGATGATAATTCACTTTTATTTTTAGATCAATGACATACATTTTATTCTATATTCCACATATGTTAGTCAAAAATACCCAGTTTCATACTTTATCAAACATATGTTGGTGAAAAATACCCAGGTTTATTCTAATACCCAACATATGCTAAGTGAAAATACCCAGGTGTATACAATGACCATTGTTTCTCTGCTATTTATCATAGTTGGCGTTTCAGAATTTTATTTCCCCCATTTATGACCCGGGTACCAGGACAAGTACTGACCAGGTCCATGAAATCCTTGACTAAGTAGTTAATGAGCTCCGCCCTTGGGATCTGACGTACGTCGAGCGTCGTGTTGACGTCAGACGTCAGAAAGAGGCTCAGTGTGTACGCAAGTCCACGGATGTCAGAGAAAACCGTTGTACACGTGTTGTTGTTGTTGAGGAGTTTTCCCGGCGCACAGGTCAGGGGTAGGCAACCACCCTTCGAAGGGAGACAATTATTACTGTGATAGTCTCGCGACTTAATTAACACCAAAAGACAGACTTGGGTTCTAGTTGAGATCTCACAGACAAAAGGTGGGTTCATTTGAAACTTATCTACAGACACATTGTTTGTGTACGCGGTAACTTGTTTGTGATTATACTGGCTGGAAGAACTCCACTAAAATAGCAGGGGTGAAATTCTTAATGTGTCTTCGGGTGATTGTAAGATACACTACCTTTTTAAACAAGAAATGGATGGGGCCATGGGGTGGATTTTTTTTTTTTTGGTGGGGGGGGGGGAGTCTTCATTGTAGGGAAAAGTAAAAAAAATAAATAATAACAAAATAAAACTAGATTAACTTCAATCAGGGGCGATGATTGTAAGATACACTACCTTTTTAAACAAGAAATGGATGGGGCCATGGGGTGGATTTTTTTTTTTTTGGTGGGGGGGGGGTGTCTTCATTGTACGGTAAAGTAAAAAAAATAAATAATAACACAATAAAACTAGATTCACTTACATCAGGGGCGGCCCACTCAGAGTCACTGCAGTTACTGAAGACATAGAGAGGTGTGAAAGGTATCGGCACTGGTGTTGCAGACTTGATTTTACTGAAGTTCAGCAGGTATGTGAAGGGTGGGGAAATATCTTGACTGGGATTAGGGCGTATAGCTCCTTTGTGTAAACACTCACTGTACTGCAGTATCTCCTAATACAGAACTCAAAATTTTAATACAATTGTATCTTCACTATTTACAGAACAGTTTGAAAACAACAAACAAAACAAACAACTCCTTATTGTTATGAAAATAGTCTAAAAAATAAAGTCTCAGAATGGCGCCACATAGAGGGCGATAACTGATCGGAAAATAAAGGGTGGTATCTGATCAGGGGGGAGGGGGGAGGGGGGATATAATCGTTCATTTTTTAACATCAATCAAATATATAAAAAATGTAAAAAATAAAAATTAAAAATATATTATTTATTAGTATAATCTCTTCTCAGTAGAGTGCTGATGCATGCAGTAGCGAGGCCAAGAGATGGAAGGAAAAGGTTTACAGCCTTTTGTTAAATAGCTCACAGTGATGGATTACCTTTAAAGGCAAATAAAGCAGGTGCCTAGCGCCGTGCCTAGCGCCCAGCGCCTCTTAGGGCCCGTGCATTTTAGGGGCCCCGCAACAAAGAATCGATATTTTTTTTTTTTAATTGAAAGAATTCTGAATATCTATATAATATATTTTTAATAGAATGGGGAAAAGAGAAAGAAGTAAGGCCAAGAACACACATGGAACACTGATTCCTGGATTGGTTATCATCAAAGTGCGGCTTTTGGACGACAGGCAACATGTGATAACAGGAGAGATGAGATAGAAAAAAACTAGTGTTTACAATATGACGAAGGTTGAAGCTCGCAAAGAGACAAGAGAGTTCCCTGAACCCATTCACGGTGTCCTAAAATACGGTTTGTTTCACGGAAGGGGTGGTCCGCCCCAGTAGCCACTTTTTAATTTATATTGAGAGACGGCATTTTCGGCCAACTACTGATGTATTTTAGTTGAAGGAAGGCGGTAAAAAAAAAAAAGGTTTGAGACAGCCCGGGTGGCAGAAGCCCGAGCAACGCCACTGCTGATATGACATTAAGATATAACTGTGCATGGGGGTGCCAAAAATTTGACTGCCTGAAGGCCTCAGGGGTGTGTTTAACCGGCAACGATATTCCACACTGAGGTAGTTTTCAAGAAATAATATCGAAAGTCTAAATGATTAGTTCTCAACTTGTGGTCACAAAACCCGTCGGAAATCGCTTTAAAAATGCCAGGGTCGCTTGAGAACTTTGGATGTTAATGTTTTATTATCAATGCACATTTTAATTTATATTTTTACCATTTAAAGTCTAACCAAAAAATTATATTGAATGTAATAGTTTCTTATTGTCCTTACAACCAAAAATATTGCCAACCACTGAACAAGATAAGTTTTTTTTTTTTAAATTATTAACTCTACAGAAATTTTAAAAGGCTAATGAGATAATTAAGATATTATTCAAACTTAAAGAAACTAATACTAAATGAAAATAAATTGCTTTAGAATCATTACTAGCAGAGGCGCCGCCTTCGGGGGTAGGTCTATTTACTCTGACGTGGCGTCAAGTTGGCAGCATAAGAACCTTGGAAAAAAG